CTGGATGCCGTGGATGGTTGCCATGTGGCTGAGCCAGATCTGACATCCTCCCTTGGTGTTGATGAACAGAGCACTGATGAACAGATGGTAAGGGACCTCGTGAATCCCCAACTCCGTTGTAAATCCTTGTCACTAGACGACCGGGTCTTGATGTGTGTAGTCATCAAATTTCTCGATCCTGAACGTCAGCATCTTGTATGGCCTCGCCGAGCTGTTGTTGTGGCTGTGGTCGGTCTGCTGTTGCTGACTGATCTTGGTGTCCAGCAACTCGAACCGCTGGCTGATGGTGGCCGACTCTGTGAAGGCACTTATGTCTCTTAGCATTGCCACTACGTGGTCAACGCGTTCCTCCAGTTGGCGGCTAGAGGATGCACTGCTGGAAGCCCCAGCATCTGGGCCTGGTGGAACTTGTTCCAAGTCCTGGACACGGGCGTCCAGTGCCCGTGTGGCATCCTCGTGCTGAGTCTTATGGTTCCGCACGGCCCGCTGGAGGTTCGCCAGCTCGGACGATAGGTGGTTACAAGTGTAAACCAACCTGGTCACGAGCTTGGCCATGAACTCCTTATGCTGCTCTTTCGGTGTTGCCTCGTCGCCGTTCGGTTCAAAGTGCCAGAACTTGAGTCTGTTGATGATGTTGGCTTCATGCCGCTGCAGCAGATCCTGGGCTTCCTTGCGGCGAGCCTGGGCATCTGCGTCTGCTTCGGCCTGTACCCGCAATTTCTTTGCTGTTGCCGCTTTTTCAGCCTGTAGCTGGGCAGCCGCGGCTGCCAGCTGGCATTGTTCCTCAGTCTCGATGAAAGCGAGCTGAGCCTGGAAGCGCTTATGTAGTCGGCAATAGGCTCATTGGCCAGTTGGCCTGGTAGGCCCGTCATGTTGCTGACGTGGCACTGTGTGTGACATGGCACTGTGTTTGACGTGGCACTGTGTCTGACGTGGCACTGCTGACGTGTCACTATTCACGTGGCCTGTTGACGTGTCACTGTAGCTGACGTGTCACTATGTCTGACATGGCACTGCTGACGTGTCTTGACGTGGCCTGCTGACGTGTCACTGTAGCTGACGTGTCACTGTGTCTGACGTGGCACTGTGTCTTACGTGGCACTGCTGACGTGGCACTCTGTCTGACGTGGCAATGCTGACGTGTCACTGTACCAACCCGGAAATGCATGCAAAGGGTGGGTGGGAGGGAAAACGCAGGTAGGAAACCAATCCCAACAATACTTTCCTCCGACCCTAATCAACAGATAAAAA